ACTAGATTTCCAGCAGGAACAACAGATCTTTTTTTCGTACTTGCAGAAAATGTACTTAGCTTTAAAGGAGAACTATGAGGTTAAGGCTTTTCCCCATAGTTCTCCTTAGGGTAACGGGAGGACACAAACTAGCGTCCTCCCATCACCCTAAGCTCAGTATAATGCGAGTTACAGCTCACGGTATACTGAGAAGCCGCAGATGAAGCGGATCCCGACAATTATGTCTGGATCTACCCAGCTGCGTGAGTGACAGCTGGCTCTGCCTATCTAGAGGCAGAGCCAGCTGTACCCGCCCCCTCCCCCGTCCGTTCCGCCAGTCAGCGCTGGAGGATCAGAGCGGGGAGGGGGTAATCCAGTCCCTCCCCTGTCACGGCAGAGAGCCGTGACAGGATCGTGAAGTGAGCGAACGCTGGTATGTGTTCGCTCACTTCCCGATCTACTGAGCCGACCTGTGACCGTCTCATTGTCACAGGTCGACTAGAACTATGAGGTGAGTGGAAAGCACTCACCTCATAGTTCTCCTTTAATGCAGCCACCACATCTATGGACAAGAAAGCTGAACTTTAATACATTTTTGACCTTTGGTTTAGATATATTTAAAGTTTTGAAAAAGCCAACAACCACATCAGTGGCACCATTGAGCAGTGATGAAAAAATTAACAGTAATTTTAAATGATACATTTAACATATTCTCACATGTCTGGCAGCCTTGGCTAACCTATATTTAACCTCTTGCCGTCCGCCCGTAGTAAAAAAACGGACGGAACTTTTGCAGTCAAAATTCAGAAAACCTCTACGATATGTTTGTAATGTGTTCCTATTCACACAGTATATGTAAAAATAATTTTAAACTATTTCTTACCTTTAAGACATTTCTTTTTAGCCGCCCTCTGCATGCTACCCTCTCAATTTCAGCAACAACAAACGTTATCTGTCCTAATAGAAAAGACTAAGGGTAGAATGACCATCCTCTCATTAAAAAATACATGGTCTTCAGATCTTTAACCATTTGTTAGGACAGACAGTCCTGCTTATCTAGTTTACAAGTGATATTGAAATCTCCCAGCACAGTACAGAAAGGGATAATTATTTGGAACAAAACCAATTTCCCCCCAACACTCCAGACAGTGAGAACTAAGCAGGATTTTTCAGTTCTTGAGTTAGCAGAAAAAGCATCTAAATAAGGTAAGCTGCAACTTTTAATTTTATTAAAGTTATGCTATGTGAACGGGAACATGTAAGAAATATAAAGTAGGTGTTATCCCAGTTTGGCTGCAAAAGTGGAAATATGCTTTAAGTTAACTCCACAACATAACTATAATAATCCAGACTTAAATTAACACCCCGGATTTCCCCCCTCTCCATTTTTCTTCATCATTTACTTCATTTTCTTCAGTGTTTCCATTTGTCATTCTTATCTCACCTTCCGCTGGGACCTTTTCTATACTTTTCATTCTCCCATTAATCTTCATCCATCTACAGTCTAAACCTATATTCAGCCAACTCCTCTTAACACTTAGCATCACTATAAACTAGCATTTCCAATCACACCCCACTGTATTGCTTTTCTAGTCCACCACTAAAGTCTCCTGATGCCCTATCCTCTTCACATATACCAGTTCAATCGCTCATTATGGACACATGGAAATCTACACTACATACAAACAGCCTTGAGAATGTATCCATGTTTTCAACTGTTTCTGAGCGATACTCATTGGCACTATTCTTTGCCCTAACTTAACAGCGTATCTAACCCATATATGTTCAAACAAATAGAAAAATATATGTTATGTTTTTGTTTTGTTCTGTTATGGTTACGTAAATTGACACTAAACTCAGGAACTACATTTGTTCCCCATTGTCCCTGTCCGTGTTGTAGAGTAGCCACTGCTGCAAGCTTGCTCCCATGATAGCCTATAATTTCAATACAAATTTGTAAAACAAACGTGAGATTGTAGTCCATCACGGGAGCAAGCATGGAGTGATGGCTACTTTACAACATACACAAGGACCATGGGGAACAAAAGTTGCCACCCTCCAGAAGGAAGGACAGTGTCAGCACCAATTCAGAGATGATTTGAGGATCTACAGCTGAGTGATACACAAGTTGCTGTAAATTTATGTTGAATATTTAATTTTGGATTTTAGATTCACTTTACAAATTACAAAGTAATAGACGATATATGGACTGATATCTCCCTACTCATCATACTTGGGGTCATTTTGTTTATTGGTTTCAGATTTATCCTGATGGGGCTATATCACAGGCTTTGGCTGAATGTTTGTTCTATGCAGTCAGTCAATATAATAACATCTAAACAGCACAAGCAATTTGCTTATAGGTGTAGTAGAATCTTATTTTCTAACTGTGTTACTACAGTATATGATTTGAAGCAAGGCTCCATTTAAACAGCCATTTCTTGCTAAGGAACAATCAGCCATACCAAACTCTACTCAGATCAACAAAGTGGAATGTTGCACCCATCATGCACTGTTTTTTTACAAAAGAAATAGCTGTTTGCTTTGCTAGATATGAAAAATGGTACATAAATTAGAGAAAATTTATTTTGCCATGTCAAGGTTATCCTTTTAAGCCTTTTTGAATTCACTTAATTTGAATAATCTATGTAGCATATATCCCGGTTACTTTCCAGTAATTGTTGAATCCGTGTATATGTATAAAGAATACTATTCAGTGTAATTACTTCTATTATTTAATTTAGTGTATTTATTTTTCCAGTTAATATTTTTATATTCAAGTATTCTTTCTCGCCATTGTTCACCCAAAAACATGCGACACATCCATAACAATTATATGAATGTCTCTTGATGACCCCCAGACTTGTTAAGAAACAGTGACAGATTATTAACTCAATTGGATCAGCCACTGTGGGTGGCACCACATTCTTTTTAGAAACAATAAAACAATGAAATAATGACAAAAGAGCACTGGGAATTTTCAGGCGGTACTTCAACAGATTACACAGAACAGTTACAACATTAAAACACGTTTACTGTTTATGATATTCAAAAGGGCCAAAACTGATTTAGATGTCTTTTAGATGTGTTTATGTGATACACAAATTCATAAAACATACAACAAAATTGATTTTGTTGCTTATCCAAAATCATAAACAATACAATAATTACTTCTACTTGATTGATATCCTGGCACAACCTTCTAGTCAGCCATTTCAACATACACAGTTGGTTGTTTTACATTTTCTATTTATTAATGGGGTGAGATTCTATCTCAAACACATAGAGGACAAGAGGATTTGCCTATAATATGTTTGTTCTAGTGAAGATGCAAATGTGTGCTGTGAGAAAAACATAAGAAGGTTTTCCAACATTTGTCCACCTGAACCAATTGTTCATAGAGATCATTATATATTATAGTATGGGCAGCAGCATCACAAGGGGGGTGCAGGTGGTGCAGCCCGCACCAGGTGACACTATCAAAGGGGGTGGCACAAAAATGACTGACAGTCACTTTGGTGTCACCCCCTCTTCAAAGTTGGGCACTCAGTCATGGACCAGCAACCCGACCGCAGCATGAGAGGAGGGAGGGGGTTCTATATCATATACACAGTGCCATAAGTCCAGCCTATCCAGACCACCGGAGAGTTAGAAAAGAACAAAGAGACAGGGGTCCTCCAATTCAGGCACCCTTATAGAGGACAAGAGGATCTGCCTATATTATATTTGTTCTAGTGAAGTTGCAAATGTGTGCTTTTAGAAACACATAACAAGGTTTTCCAGCATTTTTCCACCTGAACCAATTGTTCAGAGTGATCTGTATATATTATAGTATGGACAGTGGTGTGACAAGGGGGGTGCGGACCGCACCTGGTGACACTATCAGAGCGGGTAACACCTAAATGACTGCAGTCACTTTGGTGTCACCCCCTCTTAAAAGTCAGGCACTCGGTCATGGACTGAGAGCACGACAGCAGCATGATGCACCAAGATGGCCACTGGCAATGAAATAGATCACCACACACTTGTGATGACGTTACACCAAAAACGTCATAACTCATGTGTGGTTGCTACACCATTTGACACCCACCCTGGTGCTGCCGCTAAGTATGTAGTCCATATATTAGGTATTTCAGATTCACAATAAACACTAGACTTCTTAAGGTAGAGGTTCCCTGAAGCTATAAACGCCTCATACACTCAAAAGTAATGTCACATAAACCGTATGGGTTTTTTTAAAAAGGTGCTTTTTATTGAGGTTTTCAATGTCATAGACGTACAATACAATCAATACCATCAACATACACAGCAACCGGGTCAAAATAACCCAGGGTAAGTATTACATTACATACTCATAAACCCTGTGTTTATGTGAAATTAGCCTATGTTCACAAACAGGCTGGGATTAATGACTAGGGTTGCCATTTGTGTTTGGGAAAACTGTAAAATCATCCTGAACACCGCAGAGTTGGTTCTGAGAGGCTAAAACTGAACTTCTGTGATGTTCAAGTGCACTTAATTTGAGTGACTTCATTTACCAAATTTGGTCAGTGGCACCACATGGGATTCCCAGTGGTATTTCTGCAGCTGGGAATCTACACTGAGTGGCCAGTTTATTATGACCACCTGACGCTTGTAGGCAAATTAACTATAATTAGCTATAATTTCGCGCTGAAGTTGCTAGAGGGCCAGACCATTATAAATATTGAAGCAGGTTGTTTACCACGACAGTAGAAGTGATTTTTTTCTGAAGATATGGGTAAACAACGCGATTTGACAGCCTTTGAACGTGAGATGATTGTTGGCGCGAGCCATGGAGCGAGTATCAGACAAAACAGCCGAATTTTTTTAATGTTCAAGAGGGGCTCTTTGTTAAAGTGTTTAAAGTCTGGACTGTCAGCCGAAAATCTGGGTCTGAACGTGCGAATTGTGGCCGTCAGCGACTAGTCTATGTTAGGGCAGAACGGAGAGTGGCAAGACAACAGAAGGGCAACAGTGCAGTGTCAGATTCCTCGCATCACCTTTCAACATCTCGTGGAGTCACGAGGCGGCCCAATGAAGTCATCTCGTGGAGTCATCTGGTGGCCCAACGAAGTACTGATGGGGTGGTCATAATAATCTGGCCACTCAGTGTATAAAGTATCAGCAGGAGTGCAGTGTGTACAAACCGTCGGTCATCGAGATTGACATGGATTACCTCACTGGATGCCCTGATAGACGCTGGGGACATTAATAAAATTTACTTTAAAGGTTGGTATGTATTTGTGTTTTATTTTATTAATTAACTTTTGAACAGTGTTTTTTTTAACTGTTTGTGAGAATGGGAAATATTCCTCTGTACTCTTTCCCCTTGGGAAGGGAGGATATCTGGTGCCTGCCTTAATCTACAGGGGCCTCCAGATTCTACCTAAGCCCCCTAATTTTACCCATACCTCCTTTTTGGGGGACACAGAGGTGGGGAAGATGACCTTGTCCGTCAACATTGGGACAAGGGTACTGTGCGCGCTGGGCGAGCTCTGCTGCTCCCCCTTGCAAGGTTCACTCACAATATTGAAAGGCATGTGGCCTGGTATTTTACAGGAAGGAGGGCTGCACTAACCGTCCTTCTTTATGTTAAGAAATTAAAGCAACAGTACACATTTAAATACAAGGTAGTACCCTTATCCAGGCATTCAGCCTGGATAGCCAGGAATGGGAGGGTCAGCAACTGTGCAACCCCCTTCATATACCAATCCAGACTACATGCCTTTCAACATTGGGGAAGAACCTTGCAAGGGGAAGGCAGCAAAGTCTCCTTTTCCTTGCAAGGTACCTTTGTAAAAATGTTGAGGGACGAAAGCAGCTTCTTGCCCAGCATTTATTGTGAACAATAAGGGAGTGAACATATATTCACCCCCTCCGAGGTGAATAAGTACAAGGGTATGTTAGTACTCCTTACCCATTCTCACAGTGTTAAAAAAAAAACCAACACTGTGAAAAAGTCCTTTATTGATGTAATACACAAAACCATACTTATCAACCATAAAATAAAGTGAATTAATGCCCCCTGAAGTAAATCCAGCAATAACCATGGCATCCAGTGAGGTAATCCATGACAATCATAGAATCCAGCAATGTAATCCATGTAAATTATGATGACCAAGTCTGTACGCACTGTGCCACTGCCACTAAATGACAGATTCTAGGCGGTGGTAATTTCAATGTAAAGGATATCTATGGTCCAAAACTAAAAATACATATTTATTTCACAATTTCACTGTGCCCTGTGAATATGCACTTCCTTGTGTCACGATTAACTAAGCCTGCCTTCTGAACTACAACTCAACCTCTGAACAATGTAACATTATCATTGATTGATATTAACAATGCATGATGGGCTATGTAGTCTTGAGCAATCGAGTTTGTATCACATCAAGCAGCAGGGAAAGAGATGCAAAGCACACTGGGAATCCAAGAAGTTGTTGCAAGTGATAGACAGAAGGCAGTGCTCACTATATAAAAGGGACGTTTTTAAGTAAGCTTTGACTGCATTATCAAAAACAACTATAGTATGAATTATTTTTACACGGCTGATGTTACAACAGTACAGAACATGCTGTGACTTTACAACTTTAACTGTCTACATTTCACTCTAGATGTAGCTACCTCTACCTCTATCCAACATAAACAATGAGGGTCAAAGGAAAATGCAGGTTTATGTGCATAAAGCACTTCACATCAAATGCGGGAATTAGCCATATAGTAGTAATTCTCATTTGCCTAGATCAACAGTATTATCGATTGGAACTTATACTCACGCTGCGCCTCAAGGCATGGTGTTTGCAGCTATAAGCTTTAAGCAGATTTTTAGATAGGTCTGTTGGGAAAATCTCTGCAAGGAAAGATCTCTTGTTCAGAAAAATAATATTCTACTGCACAGCAAGATGGGGATAAAATTGCGGTGGCTTAAAACACAGTTTAATATCCCGCTATGTTCCTGACTTTGGGTCACAGGAGTAAATTAGTAAATGTCCTCCTGTGACCCAAAAAAGAACTAAAGCCAAAAAAAATAGCTTTTAAATTAAACCCTAACAGAATTACATTTATATTGCCAAACCACTGTGCAGCATAACCACCATGACATTTCTTTCAAATATTATACTTAGCAACTACTGCATTTAATTTCTCAAGGTGGGTTTACTGATGATAAAAATCAGTTGATCATGTCTGTGAAATGTATGTCAGCATGGCTGCTTGTAGCCTCCATTGGGAGAGTGTGTGACTGGGTGAAAACACGGACCAAAATCCAGTGTACCCATCGCACTCCTGACTGAATAATACCCTTGGAGTCGGGTGGGTGCCAAAGTGACATGCTATATGATGTGATAGCAATCGAGTCAATAAACCGTTTTTGACTTGAAATTCTATTGGAGAGCGAGTGACTTTATACATACACTTATCTTGGGTGACAACACAGAAACACTATTAGGAGACATGGACAGATGATAGTCATTCTATAAAGTGCCTGCACAATGACCTTCATGGCAGGATCACCAAGGGGTCTATTCACTAAGCTGCCAAGGGCAGCCAGGTAAACAACCGACCCCAAGTGAAGTGAGCCAAACACTGTTCGGCTATTCACTTCAGGCTTGTACGGCTGATTTCAGCCATATATCGGCTGAAATCAGCATTACATCGGCTTGCTTCGCATGGCTTTGGGTCGGCCAAACATGCTCAGCAGAAGGAGTGCAGAAGGAGTTCGACTCAGCCGATCCAACATCAGGCTACTCGCTGCTGTTTGGCCTATTCTTATAGATGCCGAACAGCAGTGAGTGAATAGCCGAATGCCGCTGAGCGGACCAGAGGGACCGAGCAGAACAGAAAAAAAGTTAAAAAAGTACAAAAAAATAAATAGAAAACGATTGGGCACCGTCCAACAGTTTTCTATTGTCCGGCGGTTCTGCTGCCGTCCAAAAAAAAGAGGGGGAAAAAAAAAACTCTCCCTGGCGCTCCGGGAGTCTCCCGCTCCCGGCCGCCCAGGAGAGAAAAGTAGCCAATAGGAATCTAGCAGTGCATTCCATAGGGCAAAATTTTTTTTTTCTCCTATTCCGACACCGTGTCAGAATAAAGAAAAAAAAGACACATACACACACACATATATAGTACATAATAAACATACATTTACACATTACTTTTTAATCAAGCATTTTCTCCATAGTATTAAAAAAAAAAAATTGTGATTTCTGGTCAATGCAGCCTGAAGTCTCTACCAATCTACCAATGTTAATCTACATTCCATTCATAAAACCAGAACCAAAAGCAATGATGTTGTAAAGGCTAAAATTGAATATGTAGTTGTTAAGATGTACACTATGAAAGCTCATAAGATCTCATGTCTTAGTGGAAATTGTTTGTCCTGGACAAGGGGATTATAACAAGGGATTTGCTGATCTGCCTGCAGCTAACATGTAGTGATATTTGTACACACACTTTAATGCACAGTAATCAGACATCAAGATTGCAACACTCTGTATACTGTATGTATCCCGCCTGCTGCTTTAGGTTACAAATGGGTGTTATGCATTTATTCATATTAATAATGGAATGCATGCTTGTTACACTGTTTAATGTCATCAGAGCACCACAAGTGCTTGGAAAATTAAACCTTGCAATGAACAGTGAACAATATACGTTAACCCCTTTAATAAATCAATAACCAGCTTCTAATGCTTGTCGTGAATTGTAATGTACATGATGCTTGATAATATCTGGGTGCATCCAAGCTACTATTAACATGTATGATTTGTATTCTATTAAAATTATGTCTTATTAAAGCATCAGATGAGAGGTTTTGAGTATAGATATATATCAGGGTAAACATTGTAGTACACATACGTTTTTACTGAAACATACAGTACATACTATACTCTAAGACAGGGGTTCTCAACCTGTGCAACCTCAGGACCCACATTTGTCCTTTGTCATTAAGTCACGACCTAAATCGCACCGCACTGGAATGCATGGCATTGCGGTACTGCGTGTTCTGGTGTGGGCGATCGAATTGTGGGTGAGAGGGGCATTTGGGATGCCATTCAAATTAATGGCAATGCAACTCCTGCACCAGAACGTGGGGTAGGTGCGATTGGTACAGTGCAATTATCGCACAGGACTGTGCTATTAACGCACTGTACTAGTGTAAACGGGCTTTCAAAAAGACTGACAGTCTCCCTACCTTTACGAGAAGTGGAGTGGCTACTCAGCCTGGGGTCCAGTGTGGGCTGCTGTGCCGTGATGGAGCTCCATCCATATGTGCATTGCTTGTACAGCTCTCTTGCATGTCTTGTAGAGGTGACAAGAGCCAGAATGTAACTTCACTCTGGTCCAGGCACCTCCACAGGACACCCCAAGGAGCTGTAAGTAATCCGCATATGGATGAAGTTCCCTCTGGGCCATACCCCCAGCCCACCCCACCTCAAGCTGACACTCCGTGCAGGGAAGCATACTTTGAATGGCTGCTCGGCACGAGAACTGACCATACCTAGCGCAGTGGAAGGCAAGCGGCGACCCACAGAACATGGGGTTGCGACCCACTTTTGGGTCGCGACCCACCAGTTGAGAGCCACAGCTCTAAGATATACGGATATTAGCATATTTGGCAAATATTAGCAAACTCTTTGGTTTGATTAGAACTTACAGTGGCATGAAGTGTCATGCTGGCACGTTCTGTTCCATCGTAACAAGGGAGCCAAACACTACCTACTTCTGCATGGCAAAGGAAACTACGACATGTCACATCATCAGTGAACATGGTAGCTTAAAACGGACATCCTAATAATATACTGATAGCTCTATGCAGTTTTTTTAATACTGTATTGAGTGCATCTGCTTCTGACATTTCACTTGCTTTAATTTACATTTCCTCTTTATTTACATAAAGACCAAGCTGTTCAGCAAAGTGACAAGGGTTGGGGCAAACTATACTGTGTTGCCAGGAATGTTTACAATGGTCATCTATTATTCACATGGTTCAAAAAACACAAGAAAATACAAATAAAAGTAACTGCAGCTAAACCTGCTCATGCAAAACTGAAGCCTCATGGTGGTCATTTTGTTGTGCAGGTAAATGTGGAGAGAAATATAATTAATGACTGGATCACACCAGATGTGTTAAGGTGACCATACTCTATACAATCTGATTGTAAACACTCTGTATAATCTTCTTTAGATTTACCAAAATCATGTTATATAAGGACACTTCTAAATAATCCCTTTGTATCAGGCACTACATAGTTGTTGGGCGATCTAAAAAGGATTGCACAATCAGTGGCATACCCGGGGTATGGTACATATGGCACATGCCCAGGGGCACCACTTGAAGTGGGGGCGCTGCTGCGTGTGTCAGCGCAAGGTCGATATTTGTTTCTCTCCCCACCCCTCTCCCATACACATCGGAGAGGCTCTTAGCAACCAGGGATGCTCTGGCCGGCGTCCTGCCCAGCTCCTGGCAACCAGTGACATCAGTGGCGAACTTTTGCTGACCCACACAGCAGCACTCCCCCAAGTGGTGCCCAGGGCATGTGCCATATGTACCATACCCCGGATATGCCACTGATTGTACAATCCTTTTTAGATCGCCCAACAACTATGTAGTGCCTGATATAAATGGATTATTTAGAAGTGTCCTTATAACATAATTTTGGTGAATCTAATGAAGATTGTACAGAGAATTTACAATCAGATTGTGTAGAGCAGGGGTGCCCACAAGGTCGATAGCGATCACTGGTAGATCGCCATGTCCTCTCCTCCCGCCGCTTCTCTGGATCCCCAAAAGCCCCCCCAAGAGTTAAAAAAAAAAAAATAAGGAAATGTAAAAAAAAAAATAATGACAATAAAATAAAAAAATAGTAAAAAATAAATAAAAAAAACGTATTTTCTTGCCTCAGGCGCAAAAGGAGCTGGCTACGGCTATGCTCCCGTGGTGCTCGTGCGGCTGCCGGCTGAATGTGTCAGACGCTGCAGATGGAAAGGTGCAGGACACCCCATGTGCAACGTCGGCCACACGAGCACCACGGGAGGACAGGACGCCGGGACATGTAGGGCGCACTGGAATGTAAGCCGGCCGACTCCCTGCGTTCAGGTGCGGGAGGGGGTGTAGAGCTGTATTGAAGTCAATGGCATCGCCCACATTGCGATCGCCCGCACTCGGAACGCAGGCACATTAGTGCCTGCATTCCGGTCCAGTGCGATCTGCAAAAATAGTGCTCGCAGCATTTTTGCGGATCGCACTGGACTGGAACACAGGCACTAATGCAGGCGATCGCACTGTGGGCGAGGGGCCTGCCTGCGGTGCCATTGACTTCAATGCACCGCCACGCCCCCTCCCGCCCCTGAATGCAGGTGTTTTTTCGTCGGTAGATGTCAATGAGCTCGTCATTTGAAAAGTAGATCTCCAGACGAAAAATAGTGGGCGCCCCTGGTGTAGAGTATGGTCACCTTGTAGCATCTGGTGTTAACTAGTCAATATTTATATTACATATTGAGCAGAGAGATGTGAAAGGGCCATACATATCTCCCCGTCTGGCTCTTCGCAACCAGAATGGACGGGGAGCATCAGAGTATGTATGTGGGACGCCGGTTTCACTGATCACTGATCTTACTGCACTATGCTGATAGAAGTTAATGGAATCTCACTTGTAGCATTTAATAAAGTTCTAACAAAAAGAAACGTAAACGGTGCAATGTGCTGGGATAGACGCATCAGCACTGCACCTGTCATCGCACATCTGCAGCCATGCATTTAGCGCTACTTGCAGGCGTGATCAAACTCTTAAGTTAAGTAAAATAAAAATACTCAATAATATCATCACAAGTATTTTTAACACATCAGCCATCAGCTGTGATAGGAAAGAAGTTATGGAATCTACAGTAAGCCTCCCCGAAGTACCATTCATTGTGCAGGGCATAGATGAAATTCACCAGGGTGTTGAAAGCTGCCATGGAAGCATCGGAAAAAGCCAGGCTGACCAGAAAGTAGTTGGTGACTGTCCTCATCCTTTTGTGAGCCAGTATGATCCACATGACTATGATATTCCCCAACACAGCCACGGCCACCATGGAGCCATAAGCCAGAGACCACAGCGCTATGCGCCAGGGAGGCTGCACGAAGCGGTGAGAGACCGGGGCGCTCACATTAGCCCGGGTGATGTTCTGTGGCCAGAGCAATCCTTCCCCAAGAGGAGCAAAAATGCCCACCCCTCCTTCAGCTGTCACATTGGTCGGAGTGGATGTCATCTCTGGGTCCCCACAAGCTTGCAATGCAACCTGCTGCTCCCCAAGTTTCAGCAGAGGAATGCACAGTGGATCGCGATGTGGAGTCAAGTTGAAGGCATGACGGGGTCTAGAATGTGTTAAGTTCAAACACCACAATCAATGTGAAGGGAGATGTGCACGGATAGGAAACATCAACTTCAGGCTAAGTTCCTTCCTCTCAGCAGAGAGCAAGTCAAGGCAGAGAGAAGCAGCTGGTGCGAGTCTTTAATAGAACGAGTTCCTCCAATGTCTAGGAAAATGTCTGTGACATCATCCAGGGAGGGGGATCACAGAGAGCCCACTCAGTGCTCCTACACTCCCCCTAGCCTGGGAACAGGTAGGCTTGGTGCTGAATGCAATGACACCGAGCCATGCATCTGTGTCACCTCCACTGAATGCTCCTACACTCCCCCCAGCCTGGGAACAGGTGGGCTTCTGTATGGCAAAGGAAACTACGACATGTCACATCATCAGTGAACATGGTAGCTTAAAACGGACATCCTAATAATATACTGATAGCTCTATGCAGTTTTTTTTAATACTGTATTGAGTGCATCTGCTTCTGACATTTCACTTGCTTTAATTTACATTTCCTCTTTATTTACATAAAGACCAAGCTGTTCAGCAAAGTGACAAGGGTTGGGGCAAACTATACTGTGTTGCCAGGAATGTTTACAATGTTCATCTATTATTCACATGATTCAAAAAAACACAAGAAAATACAAATAAAAGTAACTGCAGCTAAACCTGCTCATGCAAAACTGAAGCCTTACAATCTCCCCCAACCCCTGACACTTTTGGTGGTCAGTTTGTTGTGCAGGTAAATGTGGAGAGAAATATAATTAATGACTAGTTCACACCAGATGTGTTAAGGTGACCATACTCTATACAATCTGATTGTAAACACTCTGTACAATCTTCTTTAGATTTACCAAAATCATGTTATATAAGGACACTTCTAAATAATCCATTTATATCAGGCACTACATAGTTGTTGGGCGATCTAAAAAGGATTGTACAATCAGTGGCATATCCGGGGTATGGTACATATGGCACATGCCCCGGGCACCACTTGAAGCAGGGGCGCTGCTGCGTGTGTCAGCGCAAGGTCGATACTTGTTTCTCTCCCCACCCCTCTCCCATACACATCGGAGAGGCTCTTAGCAACCAGGGATGCTCTGGCCGGCGTCCTGCCCAGCTCCTGGCAACCAGTGACATCAGTGGCGAACTTTCGCTGACCCATGCAGCAGCACCACCCCCCCAAGTGGTGCCCAGGGCATGTGCCATATGTACCATACCCCGGCTTGGTTGTGTGTGATCCACCTTTTAATTGGTCTCTAAATTGTGTGGAAATGTGAAATATCACAAACTAAATACAGTGCCAGTGATCAAATCCTTATTGCGGCTGTATACTGAAATACATGTCGAAAAGAGGAATTAAGTGTGTTCATAAATAAATATTAAATATTGGGTTAACAATGGTGATTGTGAATATCGAAAATATATGTAGTATATATAAATAAATAAATAAA